CATAGCTGGCCCGGCCCGGGCCGGGATCCTTCTGGGCGTGGTTGCAGAAGAATCCGGGGAACTGGGAGGCCGGGGAAGTGTCCGCGGAGAGGAAAGGTCGCTCCCGGCGGGTCAGCTCCCCTCGGACTCGGGGAGACCAGAGACCCCGCCGGATGACCTGCCGCGCCCGGATCCATAGGTAGATAGTAGCGCCACAAGTCCAGCCTGAGGTTATGGCACCGACCAAGCAAAACTTAGTCCCGCGTCCCCCAGAGGCCTCTTAGAGGGAACTAGAGCAGCAGCTTGGGGCTCTCTCATCTTGGTTTCATTGTATAAGTGTCGGTGCGAGAAGCTAGGACATTTCTCCATCTGCTTTCCGCTTGGGTTTTTAATGATGCTTTCCGGCTGCCCCAGCGCAGCGACTCCCTTTGAGAACATGTGGTTGCCACGTCGCCAGTTGGGGTTGTCTGGCCCCACCCTGGGGGGGACCCTCTGGCTAGTCTGTCAGTCAGGCTTCCATAGAAAATGAGTATTTTTAGGAATGCCAAAATCCGAGTGTTCATGGGTAGGGAGTACTCTGGCTTGTGTGGTGGCAGCGATGGTGAGGAGGATGACGATATTCCAGGCACTGTTTAAAGTGTTTGGCCGTTACCAATTTGCTCAGATTGTAGCGAGGTAGGTGCTACTCTTGGTGGGGGGTTGGGGGTGGGGGAGAAGTTACTGCACTGTTTATCTGTTAAATCTGTAGTTTAACAGACCTTCATTCCCACCTACAGAGACAAGACACAGCCTCTTGGGAATCTCAGATTTCCAAAAACATTTGGCTTGCATAGTTCCCCTCCATTCCTCCTAGTTACTCAGAAGCCAGAATGACTGTGCTATGTCATTGGTCCTAGCACTTAACAGTGCTTTCTAAAGCTCTTTGACAAACGTTTATTGACTACCTACTATATGCCAGTTATTGTACAGATAATTAAAATGTTGGTTTTGTATGTGTGTATTATATATATATATATATGTATGTATTTGGTTTGGTCTTGCTTTGTTGTCTAAAATCACTGTAATAAGGGCTTCTAAAAGGATATGCCGGTAGGTCTGAGAGAACACAAATGAGAACCTAGCTTTGTTGCAGAAACACTGGAGAGAGAAGATGTGACAGTTGGAGTCAGCCCTAAATATTGCTTGAGGGGAGGAAGATGGCCATTCCAGATAGAGTGAGGCCAGGCTGGGAAGAGGAAGCTCCTGGGGTCCATCAGCAGAATTGGGGCTGAGAGTGCTAACTGAGAAAACTGTGTGGAGTAAGCCTTAGATGGAAGACATGGTGCAGGGTGAGCCTTTCCGAGACAAGCGAGGTTGTCCACCTGGGAGAAGAAGGTGAGGTGCTCAGTGCTTAGGGACACAGAGAAGGCCTGGTGAAAAGAGAGCATGAAAAGATGGTGAACGGAAAGGAAGAGCGATGCTGAATGATATGAGAGACTAAAGCCATAAAAGAGACAGATTTGAGAAGATTTCCTATTTTACAATCAAACTGAAGTATGAAGATGGGGATTATTGACCTCAGGCAACTATTTAAGTGACAGAAGGCAGGCGACTCCTTGTTTAGTGTGTGTTTAGTCATACCAATGATAAGAAGACATTTTCTTTTTAGCATATTAGTAGTAATACCAGCCTACATTTGTTGAACACTTAATATGTGCCCAGTACCATATATATACAGAGAGAGAGAGAGCATCTGCTTTAACTTCTCTAAAAGTCCTCTGAAGTAGTGAGTACTCTCTGCAGGAGACAGATTAGGGATTGAATTTAGAGAATGAACTTTAAGTCACACCATAGCCCCAGCAAGTGAGTAAACCTGGGTTTATCATGAGTCTTTCTGACACCAAAGACTATAGTTAATCATTAGATTATCCATGATTTCTTTTGGCTTTTACTTAAGACCCTGGGATTCTACACAAGAACCTACATACTTTACATATCTTTGATGTGCTGGGGCAAATTGCTGTGGACTTTGTTCTGATCTGTAGCACATTTCCCCCCTTGGGTTTCTATATATCCACGTTTCAACCTTATGTGCCCTGGGCTTTGAGCCAAAGATGCTATGTGTGAATTTTGTGTAGGTCCTTAGAATATTTCAGCCACCCATCTTTTCTTTACTTGTGTCAAAGCCATGTGATGTTTATTTTAGACAAAAATAGTATTTTCCAGGATAATTCTTGGGCACAGTCTAATTGTTACCTGCTCTTTCTTGCCTACTCCTAAATCCTTGGAATCTTTCTTCAGTTCAACTACTACTTTTGAACCTTGAGAATATACAATATTATTGGGACTTTAAGTCTCCCATAGCCGTCCCCAGCAATAAGACCTTTGCTTTTTGAAATAGAGTGCTTCTTTCTGTTGAAGCCTCGCCTTCTATAATGTGGGGAGCCCCCTAAACCTGATGGATAAACCTGGGCTCCTGGTTTCTGGTATGTTGTTCTTGCAGTAGGTGTGTTTCTGGGCCTGTCAGGCTGAGTTGCCCTGTTGGAAAGGATGGCTCGGGAAGGCTGGGATTTCCTGTTTTCTGTGGATGGCATGTTTGGACATAAACCGTGAGGATTTGGATGTGAGAATTACATTCCTGTGCTTCATTCTTAGATAAACAAGTTGGAGAAAGCTGTCGCCGCCGCGCACACCTTCTTCGTGGGCAATCCCGAGCACACAGAGATGCGTCAGAACCTGGACTATTACCAAAGCATGTCCGGGGTGAAGGAGGAGGACTTCAAGGATCTTGAGGCCAGACCCCACATGGTGAAAACCTCTCTCTGTCTCTCTTTCCCTCCCTCCCTCCCTCCCTCCCTCCCTTTACTCCCTGTCACCACCTTTTTTAAATTGACATTTGCTAAGGTGACTCTCTGATTACAGAAGTAAATGTTCATTGTACAACATTAGAAAAATGCAAGTAAGTGTAAAATAAAAGGTGATCATCTATAATACTGCCACCTTAAGAAAACCAGAAGTTGATATTTTGACTTATTTTTCAAGGCTTCTGTATCCATCTTTTAAACCTAATTAAGTGTTGTACTGCCTTTTTGAGCTAGAACTAGATCTCGAGCCTGCTCTCCTGTCTTCAGATTGCTTTTGAAAACACAGTTTTTAATGGCTTCCTAGTACACCTAACTTATACTAACTTACTCACATTTTGTGCTCATGTAGGTTTTTGTTTTTCACTGCATCCAGTGGCACGGTATTCCGAATGGCCTTACTCTATTTGTGTAACAGGAATAGTCCATGTTCTAGTAAAGATCATCTGTAATGGGATAGCATTTTCTTTTTTAAAAAAATATTTATTTATTTATACAGAGCTGGGGTACAAGCCAGAGATGCAGGGGCAGTGAGAGGCTTCACCAGAGACAGCGTGGGGAGCAGAACAGGCAGATCGACGAAGTACACTGCTGAGGGGAGCAGCGGGCGGGTCAGGAGAGGTCTGACGCGCCATGTGGTCACCTCTGGGGCTGGGGATCGAACTTGTACTGAAGCGGCTGCTGCACACTTGCAGTGCTGTGTCCTGACCTGCTGCACCACCAGGGAGGGTCTGGATAGCATTTTCAAAAAGAACTTCTGTTTTCATGTTTTAACAGCTTGGAAATAGAAATGTTAGAAACAATGTCAAGTTAACCGTCAAAAGTAAACTGTGCACCTCTAATACATTCCACACAGGTTTTAGCTTTTTCACACGATCCTAACTTCTGTCCATGAGGACAGGAACATTGCCCCAGAGAGCAAAACCCAAGTCTGTCATTATCTGCAGAGCCCAGGTCACCCCTTACTGCTAGAAACATCTCTGCCACCATATTCCAGCATTTAAGAGCTCAACTTTTCATTAAACCTTAATTTTGAGAACTTTCAGCCCTAAAGAAAAGCGCAAGAAAGTCACAGTGAAGTCCCTGTAATATAGTTTTCCTCTAAGAGTTAAGTGTTTTTAAATTGCAAAAGAAACAAGACCACTTACAAAGGACCCAGTCCTGTCAGCCAGCATCAGCATCGCTGACCCTGGGAGCAGGCAGATAGCAAGGGTGGCTGCCGGCCCCAGCCCCTTCCTGCCTCTGAGTCCCCCTTCCTCCAGTAGCAGGAGTTCCGGCTGGGAGTGCGCCTCTACTCTGAGCAGCAGCCCCAGGAGGCCGTGCCCCACCTGGAGGCGGCGCTGCGGGAGTACTGGGTGGCGGATGGGGACTGCCGCGTGCTCTGCGAAGGCCCCTACGACTACGACGGCTACAACTACCTGGACTACAACGCCGACCTGGTCCAGGCCATCACAGGTGCGTGTCGGGAGCCCACGCGCAGCCCCAGCCTCGTCTGAAACCTGGATCTGACCGAAGATTGCTTCCCCTGGAACTTGTTCATTTCAACCAGAATGGTTATTCCCCCTCTTTGGTTCCTTTCAGATCATTACGTCCAGGTCCTCAGCTGTAAGCAGAGCTGTGTCACTGAGCTGGCGTCCCACCCAAGTCGCGAGCAGCCCTTTGAAGACTTCCTCCCGTCGCATTACAACTACCTGCAGTTTGCCTACTATAACAGTAAGGCAAACCTTTCTTTCCCCTGGTGCTTTTAGCTATAGTCAGGAGCAAGGCAGGCAGCAGCCACAGCCACAGCTCCTCTTCAGCACTGTTGGCATCCCTCTGTGCCTGCAGGACGCCCCGTGCCAGGTGACCCCTCGGGCGCTTGGTTACTAGCCACTGGCCCAGGAAGCCAGTACCAGCCCAGAGCAACTGGGAGAGGAGACTCTAGGCTCTCTCTCATCCTTCCTGTAACACTAACACTCTAATTTTTCATCTGAATGAAGTGATACAGTTTCACACAGCTCCCAGGACCTGTCCCTGACTTTCTCCCTAAATAGTGCTGACCTTTTGGGCAAGGCCGCAGGGCTGGCATGATCCAGAACAGCAGCTCAGCTTTTACTGCTACTGAGATCTGTGTGCTGAGCATTCAACACAGTCAGGAGCTGACAGGCTTACAACTGAGTGGAGGAGGCTAATACAGGAGAAGAACGGTCTGCCGTAACATCTCCCACCACCCTCTGAAAATCCGTAGGGAAAGGAAAGTAAGGGGAATGTTCCCGAAATGGATGGGACATTGAGGCCAGTTTTGAATTCCTTGGGAATCACTGAAGATGAGGACACACGGAGGGTTCTGGTCTTTTCCATCTGACAGTAGGCATCCCTGCGCACTTTGAGCCACTTCAGGTCAATGTGTACCCATGGATGTCCCTTAACCGTCCCCAAGTCAGGCAGTGCTGGTGGCGGGCGCCTCCGGCGGTTGCTGGTACCCCGGATCAGACCCTTTCTTCTCAGCCTTCTCCCCACTTTGCAGTTGGGAATTACACACAGGCTATTGAATGTGCCAGGACCTATCTCCTCTTCTTCCCCAACGACGAGGTGATGAACCAGAACCTGGCCTACTACACAGCCATGCTGGGAGAGGAACGAGCGGAAGCCATTGGTCCCCGCGAGGTGAGAGGCTCCCCCTGGTCAGGGCAGCTGCAGCTGAACACAGCCCAGAGGGCAGGAGGGTGGGGGCCGGGAGGGGGGCTGGCGCAGCCTGGGTGGGTGTGAGCGCACGGCTCTGCTTGTCACTCCGAGCATAAGGGCACCCGGGAGGCCTGGGGAAGGTGCCAGAGCCCTAACTGGCAGGATCTGGGCCCAGATGTCTGTTATCTGAGTCAGCAAAGAAAATCAGGACTGCACAGCCGGCCCCTGCTCCCCACCTCAGCAGCCCCTGCAGTGAGACTTAATAATGTTGGGCCAAGAGGTAGCATTTTTTACTTCATGCTCATGTTTCGCTCACTCTCCTGCTTTCTGTCTCCCTGTTTTCCTCCCTGTCCCCCCCACCCCCCGCCCCTGCTGTGGTCTGATTCTTACTCTTTTAACGTTAGTCTCATCTCATTCCAAAATAAGGGAAAATCTATGGAATGTAGTGACCCAAATGAAATGTATTGAAATGTAGCAGAGGTTACTTCTGGGTGTGTGATTAGGGATGATTTTGTGTTTTGCTCATTTGTGTTTTCTCAGTTCCCTACAATGAGGGCATCGGTTTTGTCATTAAAAACAAGACACATTCTCTGTTTTAAACTTATGTTTGCTACTGTGAACCTTGATGTCGATGTGTATGTCTTGCCCAGACCCTAGGCCTTTTCTCTCTTTTCCCATGCAGACCTTTTTTTTTTAAAGATTTATTTATTTGTGCATACGGAACTGGGGTACAGGCCAGAGGCCCAGGGGTGGCGAGAGGCTTCACCAGAGACAGAGTGGGGAGCAGAACAGGCAGATCGACGAAGTACACTGCTGAGGGGAGCAGTGGGCGGGTCAGGAGAGGTCTGCCACACCATGTGGTCACCTCCGGGGCAGGCGGGAATCGAACTCATGCGGAAGTGGCTTTAGCTTCTCAGTGCAGTGCTTTAACCCGCTGCACCACCAGGGAGGGCCCAGACCTTTTATTTATGTGTGTAAGTACGTTTTCATTGAGGCACAAATGATACGTAACATAATACTGACTTCAGTTTGTCTAGGGCTCCTGGGCCCAGTGCCAGTGTGGGTGTGTGGAGGTTTCCTACACCACAAGCTATTCTCAGACCCCAGCAGGGTGTCCAAGAATTCAGCTCCATTCTGACATGTCTCTCCCCAGACATGGCCTCAGATCCCTCAGGGCAAGGACGCAGTCTCCCAAGATGACCCTCTACTCCTGGTGCTGGCACTTGTGGTTACCCGTGCTTCTCACCAATCTGCTACAGATCGGAGGTTCCCTCTCCTTAGGCTTCAGGTGCCAGTCACAGATCAGACCCTCCTCGGGTGGGATTAACTGGCTTGAAGGTTCACAGAACTCAAGAAATTGTGCTCACTAGATCACTATTGCAAGGGACATTTTCCAGGAACAGACAGTTAGAAGAGAGACATAGGACAAAATGTGGGAAAAGAACAGAGTTTCCATCCCCCTCCCGGCTAGCCTTTCTCCCTAGATTTCTGCCTTCACCAGCGCAGAAGCTCCCAAGCCCCACCTTTTGGGTTTCTATGGGGGCTTCATTCCATAGGTGTGATTGATCAAATCTTTGGCCATTGGCAATTGCACTCAAATCTCCAGCCTCTCTCACCTCCTGGGATAGAGAGGCAACTCCAGACCCCCCCATCAGTGGGTTATTTCATTGGTAACTGGCCCCCATCCTTAGGTGCTGCCTAACAGTCAGTTGACTCACAAATCACACCTTTATCCCTCAGGATACTCAGGAAATCCCAGGGCTTTTGGGAGCTGTGAGCCAGGAGCTATGAATGAAGACCAAATACATATGAGGAATATATGTTGTCGTCTGAAATGACCATATATATATTTCTAATAAATCACAGTGTCTCATAATAATTTGATATTTGTATATAGCACAATACAATCTGTACAATATATATTAGCTAGATAGTAATCTAATTAATAATATCCATTACCATAGTTAACACCTTTTTTCTTGTGAGGAGAGCTTTTAAGATTTACTCCCTTAACTACTTTCTAATGCACAGCATTATTGCCTATTTTAATTTAAATAATATTTTAATCATATTATGGTATTATTATTAACTATGGTTGACATGCTGAATATTACATCCTTACAACTTATAAGTGAGGTTGGTACCTTTTGACCTGCTTCACCCATTTTACCCACTCCCTACCCCACCCCCTGCCTCTACCAAGCACGTCTGTCCTTGGAGGTTGGTTTTTTGTTTTGCTAGAATATACATATAAGTGAAACCATGCAGTGTTTTTACCTGTGTGATTTACTTCATGTAATGTAATACCCACATTCTACCCATGTTGTTGCAAATGACTTTTACAACATTTTGTTCTTTTTTAATGACTGAATAATATGTCACCGTCACATTTTCCTTACCCATTCATCCATTGAAGGATACTTAGATTGTTTCCATATTGGGGGGAATGGGAATAATGCTACAGTAAACGGGGGTACAGCTATCTTTTCAAGTTCTTGTTCTCTTTGACTTTTGGGTAACTACCCAGAAGTGGCATTGCTGGATCAGGCGGTAGATCTGGCCTGCTTGCTCTCCCATCTAGCAGGGCTCATTCTGCTCTGTTCATTGGGAGAAGGAGGTGGTTGATGTCACGGTAACAGACTTCCATTCTGGCTGTGGCACTTACAGTGAAAAAACCACCCTTCCGATGTATGTGGCACTTTATAGTTTACAGAATCCCTTCTTGGTTTTTCTTTCATTCGATTCTCATAACAAACTGCAGTGGTGGGGTCACCGGCCTACCCTGAAGGAAAAAAAAACAAGGTTCTCCTAGCTCTGGAGCCCGAAGTCTCTGGGAACAGCAGGAATAATCCCCTGCCCTCCCCAACATTGTGGAGATGGGCTACCTGTAGCTGTTCTTTTGGCCACTAGAGGTGGTCAGAGGTGACCATCTGGATTTCAGATGTCTTTTCTCCAGGTCTGTGTTTTGTGGGGTTAACACACCTCACACCCCTTTGTGGTTATGTTAGTGCGTCTGGAGAGGAGAAAGAAAGGTAAATCTACGTGGTCTACTTTCCTTTTTTAAACAAAGTTCTTCTTCTGGAAAGAAGGTGACTAAATTTTGTGGACTCCTGTCCTGGACCAAGTGGGCATCTCACAGCCACAGTCTCATTAGTTGTCCCGGCTGCTGGGTGAGGTAGTCACTATGCTTTCCGTTTCAGAGATAGAGACATACAGGCTGCAAGAGACAAGTTCACTTGTGCAGGGGCCTTGGGCTGCAGCGGTGACCAGAATCTGCTTCCTTGCTGTATCCCAGGATTGGGCGGTTCCTGTCAGCAGCTGATAGTATTGAGTGAATACAGGGGAGAAGTAGGACTTGCACCTATGCAACCTCACATTGCTGCTGGAGGGTTACTGAGGTGCCATACCTAGCTTGGTATCTAGCACTGGGTGAAGGGAGTCATCCTCTAAACTCCTCAGAGCAAACTTGCACCTTCTTGTCAAGCGTGGATGCGTGGGGCTCATACACTGAGCCTTAACATTTCCTGACTGCCACCGTCTTTTATATCAACTGATGATGTCTTCTCTTTCTTTTGCTTCCTTCTGCTGCTTGGAGACTAGCAGGGCATCTAGGGGAAGATGTGACCCAGGAAGGTACTTAGTTCCCCTGCTGGGTAAGCCCTACAGCCAGCTGCGGGTTTCTTGCTGGGCAGCTGCTGTCACCGCATTCACCTTGGGAGAATGCAGTCTGTTCAGAGTCGGGGAGGCAGGTGGTATAGTAAGAAGCACATGGGCTTTAGAATTAGAAAGACTTGGGTTTGGAGGCAGGTCCCTGCCCTGCCTCTGGGACACAGGCCAGAGTTAAAGGAGCGGTGAGAGGCTTCACCAGAGACAGAGTGGGGAGCAGAACAGGCAGATCGACGAAGTACACTGCTGAGGGGAGCAGCGGGCGGGCCAGGAGAGGTCTGCCTCGCCATGTGGTCACCTCCGGGGCAGGCGGGGATCGAACTCATGCAGAAGTGACTTTAGCTTCTCAGTGCAGTGTTTCAATCACTGCACCACCAGGGAGGGCCCTGCACCTAATTTCTTAGTCTAAGACAGAGAAATCGTATCAACCTCAGTGGTGGCTTTAAAGAGTTAGTGAACGAGTTGTTAGCACCCAGGCTTCCTCCCTGAGTACTGAGCTCCTGTAGAAGACCAGGAGGAATTCTCGTTCTCTGAAGGATATTTCCATGCCTCCCCTCCCCCCCCCCCCCCCAGGATCACCAGAGTTTAGATTAAGTGGAGAGGGTGAGGGTAGGAAGGAGAGGAATTTCTCCCTTTAAAGGGAGCCTGGTTATGCCACCCTCAGTGGCGCTGCTGGGCCAGCAAGGAGAGCACTGAGCAGGTGACATTGTTCCAGAACAGCCCTGGGGGGGGGGGGGTGGCAGAGCGCAGGATGGCAGGCTCTGAGGGGGGCCAGGAGCAGAGCTGAGCCTGTGCTCCCCCAACCCACCCACCACCCCCGCCCCCCATGTTTCCTCAGAGTGCCCAGGAGTACCGACAGCGAAGCCTGCTGGAGAAAGAACTGCTTTTCTTTGCTTACGATGTCTTTGGGATTCCCTTTGTTGATCCGGTGAGTGGGATGGGGTGGGGAGAGTGGGGTTGATGAGTGAGTGGAGCACTGTGTGACTCTGGGAGAAAGCCCTTAGAGTGTTGTGCTAGACCTGGATCTGTGAGGCCCAGGACCAGGAGCAGGGGGCCTCGGGGCAGGCAGAGGTGGCTCAGCTCAGGGCTCCCACCTCGCTCCTGAGGGGAGGTGGTGCTGAGGGAGTCTTACCTGCAGTGAGGCCTGGGAGGCCAAGGAGGCTCCCTATGGTGTTTGTTTCTTCCTGGCCTGCTTTTAGGATGCGTGGACTCCAGAAGAGGTGATTCCCAAGAGATTGCGAGAGAAACAGAAGTGAGGACCTTGAAGAAACTGCATGCTTGCATCGGTCTGCTGCAGCACTTGAGGCTTTCTGAGCCCAGGCAGATGTGAACCCCTGGCAAGGGGTGGGCAGGTCCAGACGGGAAGTCGGGTGGGGGCCAGGGCTGGCCCCAAATCCAGTCCTCAGCGTGGCTGTGCTCACAGGTCAGAACGGGAAACGGCCGTCCGCATCTCCCAAGAGATCGGAGACCTCATGAAGGAGATCGAGACCCTTGTGGAAGAGAAGACCAAAGAGTCTCTGGATGTGAGCCGGCTAACCCGAGAAGGTGAGAGGAACCCCCGTGGGGCCCGCCTGCGCCCTAGCCGCGCCAGGCTCACGCCGGCCAGCTCGGCGATGGAGCCCCACACGTCAGGGCTTCCGCTCGCCTCACTGTCCTCTGGAACTGGCCGACAACAGGCCTCCCGCCTGGGAAGAGCTGAGAATTGGCCTTTCCTTGGGAAAGGCGATTTCTGTGTCACAGGAATGCTAGCTCTGTTCGAGCATTTATGGGACAGAACCCTGCCGTCTCTGCTGCCAAACTGCTTTCTCTAGATCGCCCTCCACCCTGACAGAGGCCTCTGCAGCGTGTCTCTTTGGTGCTCTTTGGCCCGTGCCTGTCCCCTCTGCCCTTGTGACTACTGCTTCTCCTCACCCTTTTCTTCTCCTGTTGCCTCAGGCCTGCCTCAGGCCAGCACCTTCTGTCTGCCCTGGTCTTTCCTTCCGCTTCAGTGTGTCCTGGCCCTCCCCACTGGGCGGCTAGCGGGGGATTCTGACCCCACCCACCCGCCTGCCCCTTTCACCCTTACCCCTTTCACCCTACTTCTGCTCGGGGGCCCTCCCCTCCCCGACACCCCGTCTCTCCATCCACGCTGGGCTGCCCCTGTTGCTTGGGTCTCTTTCTGCCCACAGAGCTTCATGCTTGTGTCTCCTCCTACCATATGGCCCAGCACCTCTGCTCATGACTGCACCGAGACACACACTGCCAAGCCTCTGTTGACCTCCCAGCCAGTTGAGATCCCCGCCCGCTTCTGAACTTCCAAGATGCTTGTTTGTGTTCTCACAGACAGGCACTGCCCCTCCCCTGGCTAGCACAGACCCTGGCACACACACACAGGCCTCAGTGAGTCGATGGATTGGAATGGAGTCTCCTCTGGAGAGACCTGAGAAGCAGAAGAGAGAAAGCCTTTGTTCTGTAGTCACTTAAATTAGCCCTGGTTAATTTAACAGGATTAGCAAGTGAAAAGAATTTGGTTGGCATTCCTTTGTTCTTAGAATTTTTGTTCTGTTACTTTTCTTGATTCTCATAACTGTCCAGGAGACAGGTTGGGCAGATTGCAAGAGCCTCATTGTAAATAGAGGATAATGATGGTGATGGTGGTGGTAATACGGTAGCTAAAACTTTGAACTTTTCTGGGTGCCAGCTATTGTGCTCACCTGACTTGCTTTTTAGTTCTTTACATCAAACTGACGAAGTGGCTGCTAGGAGGAAAGGCTTGGGGAGGTGACGTGACCTGTCAGGGTCACACAGCTCGTGAGTGGAGGACCCAGGAGTCCAAATTCTGGGTGATTCTGGAGCCCGGGTTTTAGGAATGTGTGACCAGTGCTTCCTTCACGGGAGCCCAGAGCAGCAGCTGGGCGTGGGGACTCGCCCTCCTGTCCCCACGCCCAGTCCTTTGGAGACGCTGCCTTTGGTCATGTCCGAATGGGAAGTTCCTCGGGAACAGGAAACCGCAGGAATTTCTGTTTCCCACTGCCAGGAGAGTGTGTGGACCCAGGCGGCTGGGTTTAGCTGGCCCTGTCGTCGCTTTGCAGGCGGGCCCCTGCTCTACGAAGGCATCAGCCTCACCATGAACTCCAAGGTCTTGAACGGCTCCCAGAGGGTGGTGATGGATGGCGTCATCTCCCACGACGAGTGCCGGGAGCTGCAGAGACTGACCAACGTAAGGGGAGCCCGCGGCCGCCCCGACCCCCACCCACCGCCTCCTGTGTGCTGGCCTGCCTGGCCCTTGATGAGGGTGGGGGTGAAAGGGGGTGCCCCCGCCCCGCCCAGCGCAGCGAGCCCCACCTGCTGCTCTCACCTTATAGGCAGCAGCGACTTCGGGAGATGGCTACCGGGGTCAGACCTCCCCACACACCCCCAACGAGAAGTTCTACGGCGTCACTGTCTTTAAAGCCCTCAAGGTAGAATCAGTACTCAGCCTTCTAGACTGGAGAAGGGGGGCGCAGGCTCTGGGGAGGAGTCGGGGCTGGTGATAGGAGAGGTGGGGTGTGCCTGTTGACATTCCAGACACCACAGGGGAGGTGAATGATTAACCGAGTCCGAACATAATAAAACGAGACAGGCAAGTCACACCTGTGTGGCTTCCTCAAGCGTGGCCGACTCCAGGGGGTGGGAGCGGGGGCACAGAGGGCGGGGCCCGGTGCCTTGGTGGTCTCTGGCCGGCCGAGGGGCGCTGGGCCGGCTGACCACAGCGTCCTTGGCAGCTGGGCCAGGAAGGCAAAGTGCCCCTGCAGAGCGCCCGCCTGTACTACAACGTGACGGAGAAGGTGCGGCGCGTCATGGAGTCCTACTTCCGCCTGGACACCCCCCTCTACTTCTCCTACTCCCACCTGGTGTGCCGTACCGCCATCGAAGGTGGGCCTCTCCACCCCGCACCTGTGCCCGGCCCCCCACTCTGCGGGACGCTGGGATCACCTAAAGGGCAAGATGTGGTCCCCCCAGCTGGGAACCAACCGGTGCAAAGAAACGCACAGCCAGTGAGGGTGACAGGCGCAGCAGAGGAAGCCGCCATCAGCCGGAGACCTGGGGGTCAGAGGGCGCCCCACAGGAGGTGGTGGCGGTGGTGAGGGTGAGGAGGAGTGGTGGCCGGGTGCCGGGCCTGCGTGCGAGCCCCAGGGAACTGGCACGCGCAGAGGTGTGGTGGCTCCAGCGGCCTGCTGTGGGGTCAGTGCGGGGCTGGATCCGTCACGCTGCTGCAGCCTGCAGAGGGTCCCTGCCACTGGCTGCCGCTCCTCAGGCAGAGATCAGAGGGTGCTCTGCCCCCGGGGTGTTCGGACTTAGCAGAACACCCAAGGACATGCAGCTCTCTGGGTCACAGCACCTCCTAGGCGGGGGGTGGGGGGGGAGGGCCAGGGAGAAGCGGTCAGCAGTGAGGGTTGGGGGGCACCTTGCTTTCCCAAGGCGACTTTTGCTGCTTCGTGTGGAGAGTTTTGGAACGTGTGGATCAAGCCAGAGGAAGGGAATCTGGGCAGCGGTGACCTTGGTGGGTGAAGACAAAGCCCTGCACTCTTGGCAGAGGGAATAGAGAGGAGCCGTGAGGGAGGTGCAGGAGACAAGTGGGGACAGGCAGCGCATGCGTGACTTACT